ATTCCTTCCAGACCTTTGCCCACCATCTTCCCTCTCTGCTCACTTTGCCATTGCTTCGTCTGTCTTTGCCCTTTCCTCTCCCTCTTCTGCTGTCCTCTTCTTTCCATCTCTTTCTCCTTCTTCCCCCTTTCTCACTGCACCCCCTTTTCTGTCCGCATACCTTCTCCCTCCTCCCTCTCTCCAAAGCCTCTCTGCCTCCTTTCTGCATGAGCCAGAGCTCCACTTCTGCATGGACACAGGCCTCACGCTAGCCTTGGCCTCGCCCGCTGGGAACAGGGTCTGGAATAACTGGTCCAGCCTTCAGGGTCCCCCATGGAGACGCAGGCCTTGCAATAAGGGTGCTCAGTGAGGGCTCTGGACAGCCCAGCACTCCAGCCACCCTGGCCAGACCGCCTGGGCTGCAGGGCCAGGTCTCAACAGGGCTACAGGGCACACGACAGTGGTGTGGTGCCCAGGCCCTGCCGTTCTGTGCACTCTTGAGCGTGGTGCACCCTGGGGACAGTGCACCACCTCTGACCCCACCCCTAATCTCGGCTCCTAGGACCCATGGCCGAGAGTCAGAGGCCCTGGGTTTTGGTCCTGGCCCTGCCTGTCACCACCTCTGTGACCTTGGACAAATCCCTTAGCTATTTAGAGCTCAATTTCCCCATTTGAAAAATGGACAGATGATAGCTCTGTCTCGCGTATTTTACTCAGTGGTTTGACATGTCCCAGGCACAATGGACGCTTCGTCAAGGTCATGTTACTTTGAGGATGATGTCGTCCAATAACATCTACCTTCTGTCTCTTGGACATGCAGGCCCACAGGCTTTGAGCCCTGGGAGGGAATTGCCCCATCCTTTCTCTGCTCCTCTGAACCTGGGGGCTGGGTCAGGGAGGAGAAAGACGGTGGCTCAGGCTTGCCCCGCACCATGGCCTTGAGCAGCTCTAGCTGCTCCAGCAAAGGCTTAGGGTGATGGGAACTGCCACAGTGGCAACATGTGGCACCTCTGCAGACTCTCTCCCCAGTCTATGGATGATCAGGAGAGGCTCCAGCACACGCCCCTTCCCCTTTCTTCTTCCTCATCCCTTCCTTAGCCCAGTGGTGGGGAGCGCAGTGTTTAGAGGGGCCTGTGGGGTTGGGGTAGGTTCTGGGGTGGAGGGTATGCCCGGAGGGGAGCTGGCATGGCTTGCTGTAGGGCTGTTAGTGTGATCACCGTGTGGCTTTCTGGTGCCCTGGCCCAGCAGGTGGCCTCGTGGATGTCCTCGCTTCTGGAGCCCCAGGCATGCTGTCGGACACCCAGCCCCGCCACCTGGAGCTGAGGAATCCAGTCTTTTGGAAATCGGAAGGCTGGAAAGAAGAGTTGGGTCTGTGGGGGTAGCAGTGGCCAGTCTGGGGGGTGTAGAGGAGGTGCATGATGAAGCCTGACACCAGGGTATTTGTCCCCGTGATCCAGGGACAGTGGGCAGCAATGCTCTGCCAAAGTGCTCGTACTGATCTGTGTTAGGGCTACAGCTCCCAGAATCACAGGGCGTGTGTGTGTGTGTGTGTGTGTGTGTGTGTGTGTGTGTGTGTGTCAGATGAAGGGGATGAATTGCCTCAGGTCCTCTCACACCAGGCCAGCCTTGGAGAGAGCTGTCACTCCAGCACAGCACCATCCTGGGCTCGGAGCGAGGACTCCCTGGGGAGCGAGGCTGTTCTGGTGCCCTGCTCCCCAGGTCTGGGACCTGTCCTCGTGAGGTGGCAGGGAAGGCCCAGTGTCGGCCCTGAGTGAAGCAGCCCTTAGGGGATGTGCTCTGGACATAGGGTGTGTTGATCCTAAAGACACTTTCTTGCCTTAAGGGCACCCCACTCCTCAGTCTCCTGGGAGTGGAGTGTGGGACTCCCCAGCCTGGCTGCAGGACCTTCCTGAGCCCCCCGGGCAGCTTCTCTTCCTTCCTTTCTTCACTGTTTGCTTCCGACTGCAGGGTCTTCTGCTGTGGTGGGGGCTGGCCATCGAGGCTCTCAGGGCGACCCAGTGGCCCCACTAAGTACCCCCCTCATCCCAGCATCCTCCCGCCCTTCCTGTCAGGCTACGGCTGTGTGTGTGCGCGTGTGTGCGGGCATGTGTGTTTGTGCAAGGCACCTGCGTCTGCCTGTGTGCACGTGGGAGACAGAGGCTCTGAGAGAGGAAATGAGGCCAAGAGACTGAGAAAGTCCTGGGTGGAGGGTGGTGGCGGGAAGGAAGGACATGGGGAGAAGGCCTACTTTTATTATCGGTCCGTCTCCGGGACATGAGAGAGGGGTGTTCTCTCTTTGACACTGGCTGTCAGCTTGTATCCAGACATCCCGGCTTGGCTGAGGAACAATGGGGCTCTCTTCTCTCCCCTCTGCCATGCCAGCCTTTCCTCCCATAGAGAAAGACGACAGAGAGGGAGCATGGCTCTCCGGGCAGATCTGGGCTTGCCAAGAGGGACAACAGTAGGACACTGTGTTCAAAGAATGTGAGTGGCCCTGACTGGCCACTGGTGCCATGGGGCACTCTGTGGGGGGACGGACTGGCCCGTGGGAGTGGAATGAGGGGTCTTCTGCTTCTGCAGAGAGAGGCTCTGCCCTGCAGTGCCTTAGCTTGTCGTAGGCCATTCTGTCCATCCCCCTGCCTCTAGTCAGAACACGTTCCCACGTGCCAGTCTGTCGTGGTGGAGAGGGGAATTGAGGAGGTGGGACGCACTCTCAGGTGGCTGACTGCCTTGTGCCAGGGGCTCACAGCCTCCACCGCTGGCAAGCCCCTCCAGCACCCTGAGGCGCTGCTACTCTCTGTGGCCCCTGACCATGGAGGGTGCTCTGGGCAGGTGGAGGAGAATGTTTTCTGTTCCTCCAGGAGATTCAGTCAATGTCTCAAATGGAAACAGACCCATTTTTCAAGGGCAAACATCAGATGCCCAAAGAGGGAAGCTGGCCTCCTCTTGAAAAGGCAAAGGGATCTGCCAGAGAGAGGCTCCTGGGGGTGGGCGAGCCTGGAACTGAGACCAGCCCTAATGCATCTCTTTTAACCTTGGGGCTGAACTCAGTTCCAAACCCCAAGAGCCTTTCCTGAACCAGCCTCCTTTGTCACAATTATTATTAGAAAATCAATGGCTACGTCTGTTTCTCTGTAATGTTTTTGCCAGGAATGAAACCGGCAGCAGCTCTGGTCCAAGCTGCCCAGGAGGCCTGAGTGGGGCAGGGGGCTCGGTGGCAGGAGGACAGGCGTGGCTGAGGCCAGGGCACCCGCCGGTGTGGTGTGAGCTGCAGGCCGCCTTTCCAAGGCCTGGGGGCCTGGGATTCTGTAAGATTCCGGGGTGCAGCTCGCTCCTCTCAAAGGCACGCCCTTCGTCCCTCCAGGTGGACCCTCCTAGCAGCTTCAGGGTGGGACTAAGGCGACCCCCTATTTTTTTATTCTGAGGCTTAGGGCACTTCAAGGCACAGGGCTTATCTGCTTTAAGGGAAGCAGTTTGCGGATGGCAGAGCGAAGTCAGAGTCCAGTTCACTGTCCCCATCCGGGGCTCTTTTTTTCTCAGCTAAGATGGCAGCAAGGCTGTCTCTGAGCAATAAAAAGCCCAAAGTGGGGACTTGGAGCACCAGCCACTTAATGTGCAAGTGCCAGTCCTGCTTCTCTCCCGCCGGGGCCCTGCTGGAGCCCCTTAGTGTGGGAGAGCATGAGGACGTGTCTCAGAGTGATTGTGCATGTGCGGGTGAGTGTGTGGCCGCCCCGGCTTGGCAGACGGCAGCCTGCTGTCCATGACAAGTAGAAGGCTTCCCAGCCAGCGCTGTTCACAGCAGCCTTTGTGGCTGTGCCAGGCTGGGAGTGCTGGGGGCCGCCTGGGGCATGCAGTCCCCACGGTGGACGGTAGAAGATGACTCAGTCCGAAAGAGGGTGATTTCTGCCTGGCTGCACTGGCATATCCCTAGGGGCTGGCAGTGTGTGTGTGTGTGTGTGTGTGTGTGTGTGTGTGTGTACCCACATGCATGCACGCATATGTGCGCCATGGGACCGTGTTCCCAGATGTATGTTCAGGGCCCTAGTCCCACGTGACTCGAGACCTTTGGTGAAGGCAGGGTGGAGAATCTCCTCCCAGAAGATATTCAGGACTCAGAGCCCACCCTTCTGGCTGGGTCTTGGCCTCTGGGACCTGGGCAGCAAGTATTCTAGGATTCTGGGAGCTGGCTCAATGAAGCAGTGGATTCCGAGCCCCAGCCCAGCTGTGAGAAGAGGGGGTGGGAAGGAAGGAGGGTGAGGTTAACAGCACCCCCAGGCCTGTGGAATGGGATTGGGATGGGAAGTGCAGAAAAGCAGATGGAGCATGTGACTTCTCCTCGCCTGCTCTTCAGCCAGGAGGGGCAGGGTGGGATCCTCGGCCATCTGTGGGGAAAGACAGAGGGGTAGGTAAGGGGTCAGTATAAGGGGAATTGGAAGAGGTTTCAGAGGTGCCCTGGATGAAGGTTGGGGAGCCCCAGAGAAGGCAAGAAATATCCCAGGGCCCGGCTGGGGCTAGGGACTCCATAACAAGACTTGGTCATTTCTTTGTTTCTCCTTGAGAGCACCATTTGCAAGATGATGCAATTTAGCTCTTTCCAAGAGCTCTTCCCCATGGGCTTGATGTTGCTGGTTGGTTGATGCAGTTGCCTTGGAGACTCTCTTCCCTTCCCCGCCCTGCCTTGTCTAGAAGCTCTGGCCCTCCGCCTCCGGGGTTGGAAGGAGTTGACATCTGTTTCTTGTATCAGTCCTTTGTGCTCTTGGTCCCAGCCCTGTGTGGAGTAGATTCCTGTTGGAGGCTGAGTCAATCTAAGCAGATCCCCCACCCTGCAGAGAAAAGTGGGGGTGTGAGCCGAGCTGGGCACAGTAGGGCTGGAGGGAGATGCTGGTGGGGGGTGGGGCGGTGACAGGCCACCCCTGCTCAGCCCCTGAGCTAAGACATGCTGCCTTCTCTGGGGGGATTGGCCTGGACTGGTCATTTCTTGCACAAATGCTCATTGCCCTCCATGCCCTGATTCCTCCCAGGGGTACAGGCTCGGGAGAAGCAGCCTGTAGAGCCCCCAGCCCCTCTCCGGAGACGGGCGGCCAGTGATGGACAGTATGAGAACCAGTCTCCGGAAGCCACATCCCCCCGTAGCCCTGGGGTTCGCTCTCCCGTCCAGTGTGTCTCCCCCGAGCTGGCTCTTACCATCGCCCTCAATCCTGGAGGGCGGCCCAAGGAGGTGAGTCCGTGAGCTGTGTCCTAGGGCCACAGAGGGTAGGGGAGCCCACCTTTCATCTCCAGGAAACTGATGGCCACCTTGTCACTGACCTATCGGTAAACTCAGTAATTCGTCCCTCCCCACATCCTCACCCAGGGGCTCTTCTCCGGCATGTTTACACTTCCTTCCTTAAATAGCTTCATGCCCCCACTTCTTACATTAATACCGAGATCGAAGTTCCCTTCTTGATTCCTAAAGAGAGTCCCTTAATAGGGTGGTAAGGATCTGGGCTGATGTAGGTGACCACAGTCTTCAACCTCTAAACCAGATCATACAGACTGGCAAATGTGTTTTTGAGACCTTTCCAAATAGGAGTTTTCTTGAGAGATTTCATTTTCATGCCAAAGTGTTTGCATTTCTGAGACATTTCAGTAGTTGGAGGCAGTGGGTCTCAAACTTCAGTATGCATAACAGCCCCCAGGGAAATTGTTGAACCCATAGGTTCCCAAATCTACCTCCAGAGAGTCCAGCATGGTTGATATGGGACAGGACCCAGGAATCTGCATTTTAAATGTGCACCCTGGAAGATTCAGGTGCAGCTCACAGTCTATGAGATAATGTACTATCCTATAAAATCCAGGCTAAAGAATCATTCTAAGTATAAATGGCTTTCGGACATCTGTTCTCTCCTGCCTTCTGGCAAGACCCCAGTTCCCTGCCCCTAGACCCCCTTCTCTTTGGCCCTGAAATATTGCCAAGGTAGATGCTCCTGAATGCTGCCCGTGCTTGACCACGGCCTTGCAAACAGTCACTCCCCTACTCTCTCAACTGCAAGGAGTTGGGGCTGTAAAGGGCTGGGATCTCCCTTTGACCTCTGCACTTACCTGAGCAGCAGTGGGGAGTCAGGCTGCAGAGGAGGTTTGTGGGCTGGTTAGCTTGCTGTCCTCCTGCCCCAAGTCATCTGAAGGTCCCCTCTTTCCTCCCTTGTGTTCCCTGCAGCCCCATCTGCACAGCTACAAGGAGGCCTTCGAGGAGATGGAGGGAACCGCCCCGAGCAGCCCGCCGCCCAGCGGGGGTAAGACTCCCTGCTAGCTTCTCTTCCCTGTGTCCCCCAGCCCCTCATCTCGGCCTTGCCTGGGGAAGTGCCTAGGTTTGGGGGTGGGGGGAGCGTGCCAGCAAAGTGGGGTGGGGCTGGATTTGCGGCTCCTCACCCTGTGGCTCCTTCCACACCCCCTTCTCTTCCATTGCTTGTGGCCATCCTCTTCTCGGCCATCCACTCTCACACATCCGAGCGTGCCAGGTCTACGATCCAGACTGACTGACTGTGGGACCCTGGGCTTGTTCAGGGTCTTCTTACCTTCTACGCTCAAAAGAGCCCATCCTCACATGACTCTTTGTGACTTGACTTTGACCTTGTTTCTGACCCCCATTTCTGTCTGCATCCAGGCACCTCTTCTGTTCCAGGCAAGCTAGGGAAGAAAGGAGGAGAGAAAGGGCCAGGACCCTTGGGCTGCAGAGCCCCCATCTTGTCCATCCTTGGCCTCCAGGTGGGGGCATTTAGTCTGTAGCCCCCAGTACGCTCAATGGGGAGGCAAATACCCAAAGGACAGAGACATGTCCACCCAAAGACGAGACCTGAATGATCCCAGGAGTGGGGAAAGGGCCCCTTTACAGGAGGAGAGACGTGAGGAGGAGCTGGAGGAGGTGGTTGTAGGGAATGAAGTGAGGGAGAAATACCAGCCGTGGGGGACTTGCGGTCCCCAGGGGAGGCCCGGTCAGCATGGAGGGAGAGACGGGCGATGCTCAGGGTCATGCTGGCTGGGAGAGGAGGGGTGGGTGAGGAGGGGAGAGCCAGCCCTGGCTGTGCATCCCCCTGGGAGCTGGCTGTCCTGTGCTGGAGAGGAATGTGGCCATGGTACCTGGCCCATGCACCAGCAGAACTTGTGTCGGTGCCACCTTGGGCACGAGGAGGCCGACCCTGGGACTGGTCCGCAGCCCCTGGAAGCCGCGGCTCTCCCTACAGCAACGCTGTCCAAAGGAAATATCATATGAGCACATTCGTCATTTAAAATTCCCTAGTAGCCACATTAGAAAACATAACAGGAAACTGGTGAAATTAGTTTTAATAATATTTTTATTAAATCCAAAATATCCTCATTTCAATGGGCAAACAAATCAATCTAAAAATATTGAGCTATTTTATAATTTTTTTAAAATGTAGAAAGAGATTAGTGAGATTAATTTTAATGTTTTATTTAACCCCAGCCTAAAATATTACCATTTCAACATGTAATCAATATAAAAAATGTTGAGATATCCTGCATTCTTTTTCATACTCAGTCTTGGGACTCTTGTGTGTGTCTTAGACAGCTCATCGCAGGTCCTGCTGGCCGTGCTCCAAGTGCAGCAGCGTGGCTGCCATGCCGGGTAGCACAAACCTAGAGCAGTCTGCTCAGGAGCCGGCTCTGCGGCTCTTGTGGCTCAGTGGGACCTCTCTCCCAGGCCTTCCCCTTCCATCCTGACACCTGCTCCCACTCGCTGTCAGGTCCAAGCAGCCAAGGGCTGGACATCCCTGTCTGGGTTGGAAGCCGTCCGCACTATGTTAGAATTGAGTTTTGCCTTCTTCTCTCCCTGCTTGGCCAGCTGTGGGTTCCTGCGGGGAGAAGGATAAGTTAGAGGTTTCATAAATACACAGCGTTGGGGACAGAAGACAGAAGGCGGAGAAATGCGAGGAATTTTTCTCTCAGGAAGCCGAAGTCTTGCATGGCCTCAGTGCCGCCCACTCTGGTGCCTCAGAGGGGCCAGGCTGCCTGGGAACTGGGGCAGCGAGGACCTCGCGAGCTGGAGGTGGTGGGGAAGGAAACCAGCAGAGACCCCAGCCCTCTCTCGTCTTCTCACCCCCTCCACCTCCTCTCACGGGCCCACCTGCACCTCTGCTGCACCCACTGGGTGGACATCTGCACACTGCGGGCTGGGGCTGCTTCGCGGTGGTTCCATGAACAGTAGCTGCTGAGGCTGGGCACATTCTTTTATAATTAATTATGTTCAACTCTCCATTCATTTGACAAACATTAACAAGGGCTTGATAGGTGTCTGTGAGCAAGACACCCTGTTAGGAAATGGGGCTGTGGAGGTGGTAGAAACTGAATCTGTTTGCATGTGTGTGTGTGTGTGTGTGTGTGTGTGTGTGTGTGTGTGTATAAAGAGGGAGGACAGACAGACAGAGAAACGCAGGCCTAGATCTGCCCTGTACCTGCAGGTATATGTTTGTATGCGTTTGTCCCTATGCTGTACTTGTCCATTGGACATCTAAGGACAGAGAGCTGGCGGAGCGCAGGGGTCGGCCACCCACCTGGACCCCTGTGCTGTCTCCCTGCTCCCCCCGCATGTGGTTATGCAGCTGCCCCTGCACAGGTACGTTTTGTATGTTGCATCGAGAGGGTATTTTGTTGTTGCTAGTTTCCTGTAGGTCTCACTGTCTGCTGGGAAAAGCAGGAGTGGCCAGGGAGGGGTGTGGAGCTGCTGGGTGGTTCCTGGGTGTCTGAGGGCCACAGGTAGGCTGCTGAGGCCCTTGGGAGGCGGGGAGTGTCCCCAGGGGCTGCGGCCTCTGCCGGCTCCGGAGATCACTGTCAGGAGACACAGAGCTCATTTTTTACTTCACCTTGGAGCAGTGTTGGGAGACGTGGCAGCTGCCACCGAGACAGCTCGTGACTAGGCATAACAGCCACCCTGTGGATCAGCTCAGAGTCTGGCCAGGTGCTTGGCTGACGGGAGAAAGCCCGACAGCCCTTTCTGACCTTGTGTGTTATGTGACACTGGTAACCCAGATGGGCAGCCTGAGAGGAGCCGGGCTTCGCACAGGGAATGGGTGCTCCTGGCCAAGGACTGCGGGCTCCTCCTCCTTCCAGAACACTGAGGTTTGGTGGGGACAGAGCCCCACACTGAGTTCTCTCCTCCTGGGATTCACAGGGGACACACATAGCTGGGGGCCGGCCCCAGGTCTCAGGGTTGGTGTGGTCTGGCCCGCGATCTCCGTCTCCTGCCTCTGCCCTTCACGGGGTGTGTCATCCAGAGCCTCCATTTTCTTTTGTTGTCCTCTGAGTCCATCCAGTGCAGGGTTTAAAAGGGCTCTGTGTGTGTGTGTGTGTGTGTGTGTGTGTGCACGCATGTGTGTTTGGGGGTTGGGGAAAGGGACAGGAGGAGGGGAGAGAGAATATGACGGAGAAAGTCAGGGACGGTCTGAGAAACCTGCATCGTATGCTGTGGCAATGCAAAGGGACGGTAGGGAGAAACCAAGGCCCTGGGGTAGAAATGATTCTCTCAAGGCTGAGGCCAGGGCCGGGACAAGGGCTCCATTGCCTGACTCTTTCCCTTTCTCCTTTAAACTGCTGAAATGTGGAGGCCCCTGGAGACAGGACAGGGCAGTGGAGCCAAAGCGGCCTGGCACCACCTGCTGCCCAGCCCTCGCCAACCCGTGCCCTTGCATGGTGGGTCTGGCCCTCCTGCCCCACCGGCCTGCCTCTCACTCCCTGTGTCTCCCGTATTCTTTCTGACACAGTGCGATCCCCGCCGGGTCTGGCCAAGACACCCCTGTCTGCTCTGGGCCTGAAACCCCACAATCCAGCGGACATCCTGCTGCACCCCACCGGCGGTGAGTGACTGGCTGGGAGGGAGGTGGTTCTGGGCGGGGCCCCGGGCCTTGGGATCTGGTCAGCAGCTGGCTTTGTGCCCATAGGAGCTCAGGCCCGGGCGGGGGCTCTCTGTGTAGTGGTTGCGGGTGACAGCCTTTGCAGCCTTCCTTTCTCCTCCGACTGGGAGATGTGGAGGCCTGGGTCAGTGTCCTTGGAGTCGGTCAGGTCTCTGCCAGAAGCCTGGTGCCCCACATCCCTGGTGCTCAGGCCCTTGTGTACACGCACATGTGTGCACACACACACACGTACACATATGTGCGTGCCCCTGCTGCTCTATGCCAGGGCCCTGCTTGCAGCCCAGCTGGCTCTTCCCTGAGCGTCCACGTGACATCAGAGGCCAGGCCACTGGCATTCGGGAGTTCTCTGGTCTGCCTCTTCGAGCCCACCAAACACTGCCTGAGAAACCCTTGACCGGGCAGCAGCCACTACTGTCTGCACCTCCCGGCCCTCTCACCTGTGGAAGGACCTGCCACTCTCCCTTGCCTGTGCTCCCCCTCCTTGATCCGTCCACGTGGCAGCATCTTGCTCTGCTGCTGAGGACAGGAGCCCTAGCTCTGGGGCCTGAGGCAGGAGGGGGACTGGGACACGGCTGCTCAGCCTCCCTGGGGCCACACACGGTCCTGGTTATGAAGTGGCGGGCGAGGCCCTGGGCCTGTCCCGGAGAAGGTGCCCCTCCCAGCGGACGCCACCTGGGCTCACAACTCCTACTCCTCCTTCCGATGGGGTGGGGGAGAGACAGAGGGAGTCCCTGGGCCTTAGCTGCAGGTTAGAGCTGGCTGAGCCCAGAAAGTTCCTCCCTAGGCTGGTTTTAGGGCCGAGTGGGGACTTTGGGTTCAATGTCACTTTTTTCTTTAGTCACCAGAAGAGTGATCCAGCCAGGTAGGCAGGCAATGGCATGCACTGTGACCCACAGAGACACACGGCGGGGCACAGCCTCCCACCTGGAGTGTCAGCATGGCCGGGGACACTGAGTCACCGGGGAGTTGGTTGAGGGGTTTGGGGGCTGCCACTCACCAGCCAGCACACACCTGCCTGAGGCTCGGCCCACGTGGGCCCTGAGCACAGGGCTGCGAGAGGGTCGGGCTCCGGGGAGCCGAGGTCTCGCCTGGGCACTGGACCTCGGCCCTCTGCCCGGGCTCCTCTGTGGAGAGCCCCGCTGGGCCCAGCCTCACCCCAGCTTTCCTGCCTCCCTTTTCTCAGCAAATTCTCTTTCTCAGGAATAATCCCTGTTAATCAACCTCTCTCTCTCTTTCCTCTGCTCTTCCTCTCATCTTCAACACCTTCCTCTTTCCTGCCTCTCCTCTCCCACCTCTCTTCTCGCCTTCCCTCAGCGGAGGACGAGGGGAAGGTGGCGGTCCAGCCTCCTGAAGGTAAGTGCCAGCTGCCTGTGCTGCTTCCGCGGTCTGGGTCAGGGCATGGCATTTCACGTGGAGCTTGAAAAGGCTGGCTCGGGCCACCCTCTTTCCTGGCTGGGTCTCAGGTGACCAGGCACACAGCCTTCCTGTCCCCAACTCCTGGCGATGAGATGGCACTCTGGGCGTGGCCTGAGTCCTGAGTGGGGAGCCAGTAGCCGCACAGCCAGCGTCCAGGGGCTAGTGCAGCGCTGCCTTGCGGGCAAAAGCGCCCCTCCTGCTGCTTCCTCTCCTCTACGCCAGTCTGCGTGGGATGCTGCCACCCACAGAGGTAGACAGGGAGGGGCTCCCATTCCCTTTCTCAGGGTGTGTGCCACAGGTGTATCTTGGAGCAGGGATTCTCAAACTCAGCATTTTGGCCTGAATATCTGTGCACTGTAGGTTGTCTGGAGGTGTCCCTGGCTTCTACCTGCTAGATGGCAGTTACACTCACCCAGTCATGACAATCGAAAGTGCCTCCACCATTGCCACTGTCCCTGGGGGGACAGTCGCCCCTGGTTCTAAAAGCCCCCATCTTAGAGCCGTGATTTGCCCTCTTGAAGCCCCCGCCTGGCTTCGTATCACACAAATTACCACGTCTGTCTTTCTGGGATCTTGGACACAAAGTGGGGATTTCAGGAAATCTATGGACTCACCCCCTACAAAAATGCAACAGGACACCCATGCACATAATTTCGAAAAACAGTTGCCAAGAGTTGGCATGTCTGTGGATCTCAGCGTAACCCCTGGTTTAGATGGGCCCAGCACTGGGCACTGGGGAAGCAGAGAGGAGGTGTAATTGGGTGGAAAGCCTTAAACGCACTAGCAGCAGAGCTCGAGTGAGGACTCAGGGCAGCAGGTGAACAAAGGGGGTGCAGCCTGGGTGGGAGGTCAGTGTATGGTTCTGGGCACCGGTGTCCCCATCTCCACCAGGAGCGGTGGGACGAAGTGGGAGCTGAGGTGTTCTGTGTTAGGCATTCTGACTTCCCACCTGGGCCCGTGTGGCTTCCCATGGGCCCTGGGCCCGTGTGGCCTGGTTTCTTTAAAGACTGGCTTTCTCAGGCCCACTTCCCAGTTTCCTTTGCACTCAGCACCTTGATCTTCCAACCCCCAAAGTGGGCATGGCCTGTGCCTCTCTAAAGCTGACGTCACCCAGGTGAGATGGTTGGGGTTTCCCAGAAGGCTTGGCCTGCTTCTAACCAGCCAAGGTTCGGGCAACAACATCAGGCCGCTTGGGGGTTGTGAAACGAGACTACTCCCAGCAGCAGACCCCAGGACATGCTCCCTCTGCTGGGAACGGCCCTGCCTGCTCCTCTGCAGCCTCGTGCCTGGGGAAGGGGCTTTCTCCCAGGCTGGAAGCCAACCGCTGGCTCCGGACCCACCCGGCAGTGGGGCTGGGAGGGGAGTCTAGAGTAGACTGGAGACTGGAGCCATGTTCCTGTGCTTCCCACGCCAGACCCTGCAGTAGGCTCTCAGCTCTCCTCCAGGCTGGTTCACTTGAACAGCATGGGGGATCTCGAACACTGTCCAGTGGGAAGGTCCAAGGGGTGGAGTATCCTGCAGGCTGAGGCACCCTGGTGATTGTCTCCCACTTTGGGATGACTTCAGAGGTGCGGGTATCAATAGAACTAAGCTGAGATCTACCAGTCCTGCCTCAGAAATGACTCTCAGCCTACAGGGCCCCAAGTCCTCCAGCTGGAGCCACCGAGTTTGGAGGGGAAGGTTCTTAGGGATCAACTCAGCCACACCCATCTTTGTCGCAGATGTGGAGCTGAGGCCAGCATTGTGGGTGGGGGCAGGGGGTCTGCCCAAGGTCACAGTTGGGAGGCAACAGAGCCAGACTGGAGTCACTGGGCTCCTGTCTCTTGGTCAAGTGGCTGTTTCAAAGCCCTTCTCCCGCCTCCAGGCACCATGCCCCGGGATTCCAGCGTGGGTGGCGGAATGGAGTCGGAATCGCTGCCCATGGCCTGGGGACGGGGCCGGGGGGTGGGCAGGGAGCAAGGCTGTGGGCTCCAGTTCCATATTTCCTGACTCATGTGCCCCTCCCGGGTCAGGCTAAAGTGCATTCTTTGCTGACCCTCCGAGGCTGTGCTCGACTTCCCTGCCGACACTTTGATGGGAAATACAGAAAAAGATCTGTAAGGACAAGTGACCAGAGACAGGATTATTCAGCCAAGGGGAAAGAAAAACTGGGGGTGGGGGAAGGCTGCTCTGTCTAAGCCACTGTGCTAAATACTTGACATTCACCCATTCTTTTATTCATTGCTTCATCGATTCAGGAAACATTTTGTGCACCTACTGTGTGCCAGGCACTGTGCCAGACTCTGGGGCTATACACATGGGTGAGGTGGGTGGGGAGGAGGGAAATGCCAGCAGACATTTCAACGTTAGTTAGAAGCACTGAGCGGGGCAGGAACAGGGTGTCGGAGGAGGGGTGTATGGCCCAAACTGGAAGGTTCGAGATTCTGACTGTCGAGCTCCTGGATCTGGTACCCGGGGGTTTCCGTAGTGTGTCTCTTCTCCCCGGTCTCCCTTTTATTTGGGTGGGTGGGGCCCTTCTCTGCAGGCCAAGACCCTTTCCTGGGGGGCAGAAAATGCCCTTCAGGGTGTGGACGAAGAGCCGACCGTGCACGGGGCTGGAGGAGGCTCACAGCCACCCTTGTACTGCAGCTGCTCTCAGCCGCCAACAGCCACTTGGCCTGGGTTTGGGCTCCCGGAATGTTCTCCATGAAGCAGCACCCTCCCTGACCCCACCCTCCTACCCTTCCCAACTCCCATTGCCTCTGGGTGCAGCTGCACTGGGATTGGAGGAGAGGAGGAAAACAGCAGCAGAGAGGGTGCCAGCGAGGGGTGGGGGGTGGGGCAGGAAGGGGCACAGCAGGATCCAGCCAGCAACAGTGGGGCTGGTTCTAAACACGGGCTGGGAATAGCAAGAACGAGTTATTAATAGGAGGAGATTTCCCGTCTCTTCTCACTCGATCCTAGCTGGGCATGTGGGTCGTCTCATTCCCACTTTACAGATGAGAAAACTGAGTCCCAGAAAGGGTCTAGTAAGTGAGAGAGAAGGGGGAGGGGACCTGCAAGAAGAAGTATATTGCCTTGAGGTGGAGAGGAGAGAAAAAGCCAAGGAGTAGACAGAAAAGGAAGCATTTCCAGCATGGAAATCTGAGTCTGAAAACTTGGGAGCACTAATGTCTGGAGAGGAACTCAGGAAATCAAACAACGTCCCAAAGGTCCTGCCTGCTCTGGGTCCTGAGGAGCGGAGATTGCATGGAAGGACTTCCCTCATTTCTAGCTGATCTGGGACTGCAGGGGCAGGCAGACCACCTGACCGAGGAAGAGGATGCAGTGGGAGAGGAAGAAGGAAGTGGGGGTCCAGGTGAGGGCAGGGCTAGGTGGGCTGGGTCTCTGGGTGGCCTTGGCTAGGCTGGCCACCCAGCACGCAAGGACACTTCCTGACATCGTGGTGGGAACGTGTGCTGCTGCTTCTCTCTGGGTAAGCAGTCCTGCCCCCCCAGGTTCAGACTCCTAGTCCTTTGAGAACTCCTCTGGTATTCTGCGGTTTAGGAGCTGAAGGGTGTCGGAAGGGGCCAATGGGACTGCTGCCTTAAGACCTTGGCCCTCCTATAGCCACCTCAGGGTTTCTCATATACTGTCCCATCAGCCTCTGTGCAAACTTATGCTCAGGCCCCCAGGCTTCAGCTCAGGTCACTGTGTTTAGGCTGCGGCAGTTAGTGGGCACTCAGCCCTGACTAATGGCAAGCAGGCCAAGTGGCAGTCAGGTCCCAGGCTTGGCTGTGTCCTGACTATGGGATGGCGTGTTGTGGCCCACCTTATCTCAGTTTTACTGTTGCTAGAAGGGGTGCTTTTTTAAAGGGATAGAGGATAGAGTAATACAAGTTGCTTACCCAATGTATGAGTCGGGGTTCTGCTGGAAAACTGATGGTTCATTCCAATGGGGCAACGAAGGAGAGTGTAATGGATTATTAAAAGGTCTAGACAGACCAATGAGGGATGGTGACGCACCTATGTGCTCCTGGCAGAGCAGGTACCATCCACCTCCGGGCCTGAAGGAACCAGGAGAGAGCTGGAGGGACGTAGGTGGGAGGTGAACATTGACCTTCTCTGCTCTCTCCCTCTCATTTCCTGCCAGTCCCAAAGGCAAAAGCTATCTGAAGCCACCGAGCAAGGGGTACTGGGTGACACAGTGGGTAAAGGTTGGCCCTCAGGGATAGATCAGGGTAGAGAGTGGATCAGGAGGACGTCAGTGGGCAGGAGAGGAGCACAGACCGTCACAGTGTCACCCATGTAGGTTCAACTTGAACTCCGGGGAATGAGAGGGATGAGTGGACTCTGGCCTGCAGTGTCGTTTGCAAGTCTGTGCGTGAGGCACCCTCTCACCGTCCGTTCTCCCAAGCTGGGGCACCGCCCCAGGGCAAGGAACCAGTTCCCCAAGACTGAAGCTCTCAGCTCCCTGATTCTCAGATGGTCATCTGTGCAGTGGCCAAGGGCAGATCTGGGCCAGACTGCTCGGGTTCCTAGGCCCCCTCTGCCACTTGCTAGCTGTGGCCTGGGCAAGGTACTTAAACCCCAAATCCTACTCTCCTCGTATAATTGTTTGCCCTTTTTATCATTACAAATCGCCATATGGAGTTGGCTCTTCTTTGGCTGATGGGCCGGAGTGCCAGGCAGAGCCAGCTCTGGGTGTCCCATGCGGCTGTGGGCCCCCTCTAGGCTGCCCAGAGCCAGCACTGTGAGTCTGGAGACTGTGGTACTAGTGTCCACAGCCACTGATTGCTGTGTGTCCTGGGGCTCATTGCTCCACCTCTCTGGGCTGAGGAGACACGTTAGATCAGGGGTGAGAAAACTATGGCAGCTGGCCAAATCCCCACCACCACCTATTTTTGTAAAGAAAGTTTTATTGCAACCCAGCCTCACCCATTCATTGACCTGTCATCTATGTGTGCTTTCATGCCACAATGGCAGAGCTGTGTAGTTGTGACAGAGACAGTCTGACCCACCAAGCCTAAGATATTTACCATTAGGTCTTTATCAAACATCGTGCCTCCCTGGTCAGAGGATCTCCACATCGTCTTCTAGTGCCACCAGGTCCTTGTGCATGGATGGCGCGGAAGCCATGCCTTTGATGTGGATTTGGCCTCGGGCTTCTGCGAGGTGGGTGGTGGCCTGGACTGGTGGAGGGAGGCTTTCAAGAAGGCCTCGCTGACTCTTCCCACGTGGACTCCAGCTTTGGGTGCTGAGGTGGCTGGTTCTACATCACCCTGTCCCTGGAACAGACTGTCCCACACCTGCCCCTTTGCAGAAGTTCTGCCCCAGCCCCATCCACTGTCCCTGCTGTTCGTTGGAGGCAGCTCTGTGTGGAGGCCAATGACAGACTGGTGGGCTCTGGCTGGAGCTATACACAGACCCCACCGCGGCCCCCAGGACCTGCTCCTTAAAGGGCCCTGGGCTGAAGGACTGTCCTCGCCCCACACCCAGGGTGGCCTCTGGACCTGGTGTAGTATGTCAGGCCTGGGGGCCACCTCAAAAGCCACACCCGGGGACTGTGCTCCTATGCAGTGAGGGCCCGTGACTAGGCACCTTCCAAATGAAGATTTTCTTTGGGGTGAGGGAGGGAGGTTTCATTCTAGCTGGCTAAACCCTGAGCCTCTCTCCCTGAGGGGCCTGGACGAGGGGGCTCTTCTCCACCTCAGCGACCCTCACAGTCTTGGCTTCTTCCCCAGGGCTGCGCAGACTCTGGGCCCTGCTGGATGAGACAGGGACAGTGCCAGGTTTGGAGGTGGCAGGAATGTCATCTCTCTCCATTCAAGTGCGCTGTTGCTGCTGCTGCTGCCTGTTTAATACGGAGTTAGTTTTGAGCTGGCCTCAGAGGCCGTGGGGGAGTCAAGCACTCTGGGTCCTGGCTGAGCCTCTGGGCCTCAGTGTCCTCATCTGTAAAATGGCCTTTCTGGCTCTTGCCCCAGCCCACTAGGCTGTTCTGAACACCTGGTGGGGGAATGTGTGGAAAGGTTGTCTGTAAACTGCTCAGTGCTACAGAAACTCCAGAGGTGGGTGATGGGACGTCTGGCTCTGCGTGGGGACGTGTTCCTGCTGTGGGTCTCTGGAGGAATGCCGAGTGTGTCTGGCAGAGGTGGGTGGGTGTGTCTTGGCATTCAAGGGGCTAGAGAGTGCGCGGTGGCCCTGCTGGCCATACTACACAGGCCTGTTGCCAGGTGCACAAGCCCGTCTCTGGATTCTAGGCCCGTGTCAACCCTAGTGCCAACCCGAGATATGGGCAAGGTGGGACTGGAGCTCTGGGCCCACTGTCAAGTGCCAACCTTGAGCGGTGCCTGGGGAACCTAGAAGGGCCTGGGGGTTGGATAGTGTGGTCATTGAAGGAAGGGAACAGCTAAAGGGGATGCCACCTGTGGACAGACATCCTAGTTCTTGGAGGGAAGATTCCCTGATGGCCCTGTTCAGAGGCAGAGCCTGGGTCTGTTTTGGGGAAGCCCGTCTGAGCAAGGCCCTGGTTACAGGTTGCTGTGGGGCATGGTGGGTACCAGAGGTGGGAGCCCCAGGAAGGTGCTCTTTGCGTCCCCTGGGGGCTGTCCCCGTGCTCCTTCCCCAGCTGGACTGTGTTCCCGGGCAGGTCGGGTGGCGTCGCCATGCACCCCTGTGCACCTGCGCTCACAGTCTCCGTGCCCTTGCCCCTTCCAGAGCCCCGGAGCTATGTGGAGTCTGTGGCGCGGACAGCGGTGTCTGGACCCCGAGCTCAGGACCCTGAGCCCAAGAGCTTCAGCGCACCAGCTGCCCAGGCCTATGGCCATGAGGCACCCCTGAGGAATGGGACCCTGGGCGGCTCCTTCGTCTCCCCCAGCCCCCTCTCCACCAGCAGCCCCATCCTCAGCGCTGACAGGTAAGCCAGGAGGGGGCAGCGGGCAGGGGCTGAGAGTCCAGGGCTGGGATGGAGTGGGTGAGGCCTCTTGGCTCTGCTTAGGGTGTGGGTGGGCAAAAATGACACACAGATCACGGCACCCTGCAAACCACTCCATCAAGGCGCATTGAGAGCGCATCCTCGGAGTGCTGCATCCTGTGTGGGGCGCCCGGGCTGAGTGAGCGTGATTCCCCGGATGCTTGCAATTCCACCATCCGAAACTACGCAGGAAGGAATGAGTGGTACCAAGGCGCATGTGGCGGGCTCCTCCCAAATTGAACATCTACCGACAGTAGTGACTAGTACATAAGTGGGCACTTCTGGGGCGCCAGGCACTCTGCTAAGTGCTTCATACGGTCACTTAATCCTGGCGGCATTCCTAGGAGATGAGCACTATTGTTGTTCCCACTTTTCAGAAGAGGAAACTGAGGCACAGAGGTGCCATAGCTTGCTCAGCGCTAGCAGCAGCGGGGTTCAGACGGAGGCGTGCGGTTCCGGAGCCCACGTCTCTACCCTCATTCCCAGGCCTGGGCTGCGGCACCCACCTGTCACAGGATGAGAGTCATGTGTGCCCAGAGCTCACCCATAAGTGAAGGGCTGGGAGCTCAGAGCAAGGGCCATGATTTCTGGCTAGGGAGGCAGAGGGGATTTCTGAGGGCTGGAGGTGTTTGTGGGGGGTCCAGAAAGACGAGCAGGAGGTTGACAGGGCATTCCGGAAGGATGGCCCAGCAGGGACAGAGGGCTGAGGTGTGGCTGTGTTGGGAGTGCGGGGCTGGGGGCACACAGCCTCCCGGCGAGGGGTGCCTTGGTGGGTGGGCAGCTGGCATCCATCTGTCTGAGTGCGTTGGACAGAGAGGAAGGCCCAGAGTTGGGCAGGGGAGGGTGGATAGTCCCTGCTGATAGGCTCAGTGGAGGGAGGAGGGCCCCACATTTGGGGTGGTGGGGGAGAAGGCTTTGTGCCACGGAGAGGGGAAGACGACATAGGAGAGGGAGGTTGAGATCGGCTCTGGCAAGGCATCGAGTGCCAGGCAGGGGAGAAGGACCCGCTCTCCCCTAGGAGAGAAGACTCTGCCTGGACCATCCTCTTCCAGCCTGGGATGTCACAGGGCCTGCAAACTCCTCAGCCAGGCCCCATGGACGCAGCGTTGAGCCCCCTCCCAGGTGAGGGTGGGGCAAGCGGCTGGGGCGCGGATGAGCAGAGGCAGCTTCCCTCTGGATTCTAAGAATTCGGAAGCCTCAAGCCAAGCATGTGTCCCCGTCTCCAGTCCACGTTGCCCCATCCTCAGCTTCGAGACGGGGCGGCAGCTGCATTGCTCAGGGGGTCTGGACCTGGCAGGGGCTGCGTTCCCTGTTTTAGAGGAAAGATGATTTTCCTAACTTGCTCCCGCTACCCCTTGCTGACGCTCAGTGAGCCCTGGCGTTAGGATGTTGTTCACTGTTCCTCACTCAAATTCTTCCTGCCCTGGTGTGGTTCCTTCCCAGGAAGCTGGCGTTTCTCCTCCAGCATTAATCTTCCAGAACTCTGTTCTGTGCCCCCCACTCCCACCCTGCTCTGCTCACCCTGGCTCTGTCTCCCATCCCTCAGAATCCAGTTTATTCCAAACCAGGGGGCGGCCTTCTGCTTTGGCCCCCTCTGACCTTCTCCCTGCCCTTGGCTCTTGCCTGGCCCAAGAGCACACCCCCACCAAAACCTCACATCACCCAGGGAACCCGGGTGTAGCCAACCTGATGCAGCCGACACGAAACTTCAGCCTGCAGCTCCAGGTTGGACCCATTGGCTATGTAGACTCCGTCCACGGAGGCGCCTCGTGCACAACCTGCCTGCCACCTCCCTGCAGTTGCTGGTTTACACAAGGCCCCTGTCAACCTGTGTATCTCCTGCCCTGTCATAGATGGATAGACGGTTGGGTCTGGAAGGAGTCAGGGTCATCTAATCCAGCCCCCTTATTTTCCACATGGGGAAACATTAAGAAGCAGAATCCAGATTTCCCAACTCACTGGCCATTGCATTGTATGCCATGCTTCCATCTGTCACTCCCTGTGGACTTGGACTTAACTGTTCAGGGGAATCTTTGACTGTGGCTATTACCTGAAATAGTCTTCTCTGAACTGAATTTTGTCAGAGTCTTAGAATTGGGAGTGATCTCTGAGCTCAACTAATCAAACCTCCCAACAGAGGAAATTCCCTATACAACATTCAGCCCAATAAATCTGTCATCCTATGCTTAAATGCTCCTAATGATGGAAGTCTCATTACCATGCAAGGCAGCTTGCTCCATTCGTGGCCAGATCCAATTATAAGCAGACCTTATAATCAACTGAATTCCCCTTATTGGAAATTTCCCCCTCACCTCCATGGTTCCTTGTCTTTGCATTTTTGGAGCCACCCAGGAGTGAAAGCCCAATTTTAGCACTCTCAGTGTTTAAGGGTGATGATATCATACCTGAGGAAGCTGAGTCAAGGCAGGGCTACCCCCAGTAGGAGCAGGAACAGGAAACTCAAGTGGGAGTTCTGTGCTGCTGGAGGCTACCAAAGGACGGGCACCTTCAGTTTGGATAGGAGAGATCTCTTTGCTTTGATGTACGGCTCAGGAGTCAGCGTGGTGCAGTGGAGAAGTGTGGGCTTTGGAATTGGACATGGCTGAATTGAAACCCTGGTCTTTTATGAGCTGTGTGGTCCTGAGCCTATTGCTTAACCTCTCTGAGCCTCAGTTTCTTCTTCTGATGGTTCCATAAGGTAACATACAGAAGCCCTGCCATTTTGCCGTGCTGCCAGGGAAGCTATTCTTGCTGTCATTAGTGGTTGGAAGGAGAGCTGAGTGCCCCCTGAGAATCCCCCCTTCACCACATGCCATCTGATGTTCCACCTGCCCTCTCTCCCTAGCACTTCAGTGGGGAGCTTCCCATCCGGGGAGAGCAGCGACCAGGGTCCCCGGACACCCACCCAGCCTCTGTTGGAGTCTGGCTTCCGCGCTGGCAGCCTGGGGCAGCCCAGCCCTTCAGCTCAGAGAAGCTACCAGAGCTCTTCTCCTCTCCCGACGGTGGGCAGCAGCTACAGCAGCCCTGACTACTCACTGCAGCAATTCGGCTCCTCTCCGGAAAGCCAGGCCCGGTCTCAGTTCAGTGTGGCTGGAGTCCATGCAGTGCCTGGGAGCCCTCAGGCACGCCACAGGACAGTGGGCACCAACACTCCCCCAAGTCCAGGCTTCGGCCGGCGGGCCATCAACCCTAGCATGGCTGCGCCCAGCAGTCCCAGTTTGAGCCACCGCCAGGTGATGGGTCCACCAGGCACTGGTTTCCATGGCAACACGGTCTCCAGCCCCCAGAGCAGTACAATGACCACTCCGGGGAGCCCTAGCCTAGGCCGGCACCCAGCGGGGGCCCACCAGGTTTCCAGCCTCCATGGCAGTGTGGCCACCACTCCCGGGAGTCCCAGCCTGGGCCGGCACCCTGGGGCCCACCAAGGCAACCTGGCCTCCGGTCTACATGGCAATGCAATAGCCAGTCCAGGAAGCCCCAGCCTGGGCCGTCACCTGGGAGGGTCTGGATCTGTGGTTCCTGGCAGCCCCAGCTTGGACCGGCACGTGGCTTATGGTGGCTACACCACCCCTGAGGACCGGAGACCCACACTGTCCCGGCAGAGCAGTGCCTCTGGCTACCAGGCTCCTTCCACGCCCTCCTTCCCCGTCTCCCCAGCCTACTACCCCGGCCTGAGCAGCCCTGCCGCCTCCCCATCGCCGGACTCGGCAGCCTTCCGGCAAGGGAGCCCAACGCCGGCCTTGCCAGAGAAGCGGAGGATGTCCGTGGGAGACCGAGCGGGCAGCCTCCCCAACTACGCCACTATCAACGGGAAGGTGTCCTCGCCTGTCGCCAGTGGCATGTCCAGTCCCAGCGGGGGCAGCACTGTCTCCTTCTCCCACACTCTGCCCGACTTCTCCAAGTACTCCATGCCAGGTGGGCCTCTTCTCCTCCCACTTCCACCTCTCCTGCTGACAGATTAAGTCCAAGAGTTAGGATATCTGTCCTGGTCTCTGTTCTGACATTCCCTCGACAGACAACCTTGGGTGAATCACTGACTTCTGGCCTCAGTTTCCTTATCTGTATAACAGGAGCTGGAGGTGTCCTCAGAATAAGTGTGCATGGTCGTGGGTGCTGTGATGAGGATGTGGATGCAGATGCGGGTGATGATGGAAATAATAACAGCAGTGAATGGTATTACTGTCCTGATTATCACCCCCATTGTAGCCACTGCCACTTTTTGAGCACATGCTATGTGCCAGGCTCTGAGCTAAGTACTATCTCATTTAATCCTCACAGCCACCTGGTAAAGTAGGTACTATTATCCCCATTTTTCAGAGTGAGGCTTACAGAGGCTCTGTCATTTGTTAGTGGCATACAGTTAGTAAACGGCAGAGCCAGGCAGCTAATCCCGGCCCATGCCATCCCAAAACCAATGCTCCCGAAGTGTAATTGGAGCTGTCGTTATCATGTGTCCATATCTTGAGGCTTGTTGTGATTTAGCATAATCTTGACCATAGCATAAACTTGCCTCCCAAGCCTGCACCTCCATATCTTTTGCCACCCCCATGGTCCCACATCACTTGGAATAGACCTGGCAGCCAGGTGTGGCCTGGCCAAGGCTGAGGGTTGGGCGTTCTCACTGGAGTCCGGTTTCTCTAGACCTGGCTTCACTGAGGCCTGTGCAGGTTTGTGCAGTGCATTGTTTACCTATCGCCCAAACTTGGCATCCGTGCCTCTGCTTAGAGAGCTCATCGTGTAAATGCAAAGTCAGGGCTTCAGCCCATCTGCGGCTTCTGGGGCAAACCTCACACCTGACTGAGTACAGAGCGGCCCTGGGGCGCTGGTCATTTGTGGTAGATTTAGACTGTTTCAGGCAGCTGGGATGGGCCCCAGCTACCCATATTGTCCCTGTGTCACTCCCAGTCCTGCCCTGAGCCTGCCAAGCCGGGACACCTAGAGTGACCCTGCACCCCCTGTTTCCTGCCGCCCACGGGGGACATCTGGTTCCCAGCTCCTCTCCTTGAAGGATGCAAAACTTCTAGTAGTTGGGACACTTCCTGTTTCCCACCATCTTCCCTGCTTAAAATAGCCTTTGGAGTCAACACAGGAAGGCACATGGGACTGCAGCCGCCTCTGACAGCTCGTTAAACAGGCCACAGCAGCGGCGGGGCCTGGGGCTTCGGAGCAGGCAGAGGCAGCTTGCGGCGGTTGCACAGCCCAGCTGCCTAACCCAGAAGCCTTCTTCAGCGCACAGCTGCCAGGAAAGGAAGCCGACCTCTCCCTCAGGGTCCTGCAGACGCAAATCCCAGAAGCCGAAATGAGTGTAAATCACTAGTTGAAATTAACTAAGCACTGGAGACCAGTCCGTGTCGCCTGTCTGCTCCCTTAACTATACAGTGTCTCTAGCACAGGCCTCTGTCTCTGAAGACAGGAGAGGAAAAATGCAGAATTAGAATATTCCTTTTTCCCTCTCCTCTTCTTCTTCCCCCAGCCACCTTTCTTTTTGTTTTCTTTGGTACCGAAAGATGAAGGAAGAGGATGAGGGCTGAACGTGCTATGACCTAGACAGGGAGATAGCCGAACTGGGTGCCAGAGCCTCTTACCTGAGAAGGCTTCCCTGGTCACCATGCGTGACTTGGGCACGTCACTTCCCCTCTCTGAATCTCTCCTCATTTGTCAAATCCAGCAGCTGGGCTCTGGCCTGTCCAAGCTCCATCCAGAACCTAACGTTCTCTGACAGATTCCAAGGTCTGTGCATTGGGGGTTGGGGGACCTGTCTGCCAGAGAAGCGGGGTGCGTGGCACACAGCAGATGGCCTCTGGGTTCTGGGCCAGCCGCCTCCTGTGTGTCCCAGGGTGGGAGCGAGTTTTTGCCCTACGTGGTGCAGAACACAGGCTGTCCCCATGGGAACTGAGGAGGGACTGGAGAGAAGGGAGCAGAAATGGATCTTTCTGCCTCATCTTCACGGTGGTTATGCTGAAGTTAGGAAACTGAACCTGTGGAGAAAAGTTCTAGAAGGCAGGTCTCTTAGCCCATGGGAGAGAAGCTGCAGGAAAGACTTAGTCGGAATCTTCTAGGGAAAGGGGGAGGTGGGGTGGTGGAAGGGCTTCCGGTGGGCTCCGCGTCACCAGGACAGTGGCTCGGCGGAGTTAGTGGGGCACTGCCGGTGGACGAGAAGGCCGCTCAGGGCTGCCCGCGCTTGCTCTCGTGGTGTTAGAGAAGACTGGCTTTCTGTGCCAGTTTCCTGGGGCTGCCATAACAAAGTCCCACACGCTTGGTGGCTTAACATGACGGAAGTGTGTTCTGTCCCAGTTCTGGAGGCTGGCAGTCCAAATTCAAGGTGTCGGCAGGGGTGGTTCCTTCCTGAGCCTCTCCCTGGCTTCTCGTGGCTGCGGCAGTCCCTGGTGCCCCATGGCCCGTAGACGCATCACCCCAGTCTCTGCATCCTCACCTGGCTCTGTGCCATGTCTATTTCTTCTCCTCTTCTTAAAGGACACCAGTCATATCGGATTAGGGCTCACCCTCATCCAGCGTGACCTTATCTTTATTTGTTCACATCTATGAAGACCCTGTTTCCAAATAAGGCCACGTTTTCAGGCATGGGGGGTTACAACTTCGACATATCATTTTTGGTGACACATTTCAACCCATAACACTTTCTTTTCCTCCCCTTCTCGTTTAGACAACAGCCCCGAGACACGGGCTAAAGTGAAATTTGTCCAGGACACTTCCAAGTATTGGTACAAGCCTGAGATCTCCAGGGAGCAGGGTGAGTGCGGTGCTCTGTGGGCCATCAGAGGCCACAGCTGGCTGCTGCCCTCCACCTCTGCCCTGGGCAGGGAGCTGAGGCAGACGCAGTCCTCTTTGCAGTAGGTCGTGGTCTCAGAGAGGGGCCGGGACGGAAGTCAGGCAGTAAGAAGCACCGTCCACCGTGAAGTGTGGGCCGGCAGAAGCAGTGGTTGTAGACGCTCCTTGGAAGGGTCCTTAGAAACAGCAAAGCCTTGGTTTTCCTGCGCAAAGTAAAAGATCAGCCAAGACGCTATGAAACCTCAGCTCTCTATCTGCGAGATGTGGGAGGTTTCCGCGTTGTACAGAGAAAAACAAAGCTGGGAATGTGGGGCCGCAGACAAGGCTCACCCCGGTTCCAGAGGGCAGCGTGCATGGGCGCGGGGCGGGCCCAGGTCTGGACACTGCCCATGTGTGTTCATGAAGTCTCTTTGGAGCTCACCCGCACCTGTTGGCTGACATCCTGTCTGAGGCTGCTTTCGTGCCGTGGTGGCAGAGTGGGGTGGTTGTGACCGAGACTGCGTGGCCTGCAAGCCTGAAATACTCTCTGGCCATCTACAGAGAAAGGATGCCGGCCCTAGGACAGGGGGCCCCTTGGGAGTGTTTGAATTCTAACTTTAAAGAATGTCGTCTCACCCAAGACAGAATGACGCTCCATAGCCCCGATGAGACGTAAGCGAAGCCCGTGCCACCGACTTCTCACTTTCTCTCCTCCCCTCGCCCCTGCCAATCCAGCTATCGCACTCCTCAAGGACCAGGAGCCAGGGGCCTTCATCATCCGTGACAGCCACTCCTTCCGAGGGGCCTACGGGCTGGCCATGAAGGTGTCTTCGCCCCCTCCGACCATCATGCAGCAGAATAAAAAAGGTAATCTCACCTCCCGGCATGGAGCTGAGGACAGGTGGGCTTTACAGTGTCGAACCCTGAGGTTCAGGGAGGCCCCGCGTGCTGAGCAGGACGCTGCTCTCACGGGACTCTTTGGAAGAGCATGTCTTGGGCTTGGTGACAGTTGGGGTCGGAGGGAAGCAGGACTGCTGGGCTGCGTTTCCTGAGGGCTGAGGGAGGAGCGGGGGTCTCTCTGTTCCACGGGGTTCTGGCCATGTTGCCTCTTTGACCCTTTCTCTCGCCTGGCCCTGACCATTGGAGAAGTTATGAAGCAGTCTTGGAGATGGTGGGAGGAAGCCAGGAGAAGTGACTGGTCCTCATTTCCTTCTCTTCATCCCAGGAGACATGACCCATGAGCTGGTGAGGCATTTCCTGATAGAGACCGGACCCAGGGGAGTCAAGCTGAAGGGGTGCCCCAACGAGCCGAACTTCGGTGAGTGCCCCCCACCCCGCTCTGCTGCTGTAGCCTGGCTCAGTCTCTTCCCTGTCCTGGGGTCCTCCGGGGGTCTGACCCCAAGTTCCACCATGGGCTCTGCCAGTCCCCCTGTCACAGACTTAGCAGAGAAAATAACAGTGGCAGCTTCCCTCCCTCTGCACTGTGGCTCCTTACCTCTGCCAAATTCCTTTCTGTATTTATTTGTCCTGTCCAAGGGACTAAGACTTATTATCGTTGTAACTGGAGTAACAATTAGAACAACAGCTGCCTTTACTGACCACCTACTATGTGACAGTCACTGTCTCAGTGCCTTACACTGCTCTGGTCTCACAACAATCCTGTATGGTAGGTGCCGTCAGCCCCCAGTTCACACATAGAAACTGAGGTTCTTCGAAGTCAGGCTTTACCCAAGAACACACAGATAAGTGACTGAGCTGGGATTTGATCCCACAACTCCCTGATACTTCTAATGCACTGCTTTGAGAGGGGCTCCAGTAACTGGAGGGACTGACGGGAGATGTTAGGAGGAACTTTCTGCAAAGGCAAGTTGTTAGGTAACCCTGTGATTGCTAGATGAGCCTTTGGAATCTTGCCCCTTGGATCTTGCTAAAAAAGAGGGGGTGAATTTTCTGCTTTGTTGGGGGATCGAGGGAGAGGTGACTATTCCGTATGGCAGGGTGGAAATGGGCTTCCTCCCTGCCCTCCGCGCCCTCAGCCTCCAGGTGCACTCCCCTGATGCAGTCTCCCTCCCCGCAGGGTCCCTGTCTGCCCTGGTCTACCAGCACTCCATCATCCCGCTGGCTCTGCCGTGCAAGCTGGTCATTCCAAACCGAGGTAGGGACGCGAGACTCCTGCTCACCAAGCACACCTTGCGCTGGCCTCCTTCGTGTCTCGGCCCTGCCCACCGCTCCAGAACATGGGCCGGCATTGGAGGGTTATTTTGCCAACCTGGGGAAACTCAAAACCACTCTCCTTTTTTTCCTATTAAAAAAAAAGAAGAAAAAGTTCATTAAGAAGCTGAACTCCAGGAACATACCTCAGTTGACTTGACAGATTGTTCTGGAAAATCCTCTGCAGGCTTCAAGAAATTCATCCTGAGTCCTCAGGCTAAGCCTCATCCCAGGGAGGCATTAGAAGTCGGAGCAGTCAGGAGAGGGCCGAGTCCTGGAGGATGATGGGAAGTGGGAGGAGGAGGCAGGTGCAGGTGTTGAGGGTTGGTGTGGACGGAGAGAGCTCCGGGGACCTTTCAGAGGAGGAGGTGGCTGGGCTCCGCGTGGCACAGGAGGGAAAGGGCGGGGACCCCCTGTCCCTGGAGTTTCTTGTCTGTGTGGCTGGAAGGGCATGCCGCAACTGGGGGGACACGGAGCTGGGGAGGAGCAAGTCCTCTTTTGATTGTGGGAAGTTTGAACAGGACCCAAGAGCATAAGGACACACGGGGTGGAATTTGAGTGAGACAGCAGGGCTGGTGCGGGAGAGTTCAGTGCCTCTCATAGAGGTGTGCCAGCCCTGGAGGGTGGCAGATGAACGCCCAGAACTCCTACCAGCTCAGGCCTCTATCGCCCAGTCCCCAAGCACACAGGGCCTCCCTGGGGGTCATGGTGCCTGGCCCTAGCTCAAGGTCTAGGCGCTGGGGGCTGGGTTGCCTTCGCCACCTTCTCTGTTCACTAAGTGCCCAAGGCTCTGGCCCTGGGACTTTCTCCAGCCTCTCTTGGAGCCCCTGGAGTTATGCCCACATGTAAAACCTCAGATACTATTTGACAATCTCTATTTATCCAATTCAATTCATTCAATTATTAATGATAATTGACTAATATTATTTTAAAAGTTCAAATACAACTTAAAGAGAATTATTAGCCACACAGATTTAGATAGTAATTGAATTATATTTCTATGGGATTTACTGTAGTAGTTCAGCAATTAAAAAACCATTTGATATTTAAATTGTATAAACCAGTGGTTCTCCAAGTGTGGTCTCAGACTAGCAGCTTCAGCATCTCCTGGGAACTTGTTAAAAATGAGAATATTCTCAGGCCGACCTAATCAGAAACTCTGGATTGGGCCAGAAATCTGTATTTTACCAAGTCTGCACACCAAAGTCTGAGAAACACTGTTATAAACAATACTCAATTCTTAATTTTTTCTGATTTTTTTTTTTAAAATTAATGTATAGTTGACAAATAAAAATTGTATCAGGTATGGCATACACCATGACATTTCAATACATACACATTGTGAAATGGTTAAATCAAGCTATTACGTCCATCACTCAATTCTTATTAATATTGAAATTATAGTTATGTTGCATCAATGGTTTATTGAATTAGGGGAATTAGGGCGCTTATTGATCTACACAAAGACACATCAATGAGAAACAACAGCAACACCAATTGCCTCTTGAAGGCTTGCTGTATGCTAAGCACTGGGCTAAAAACTGTACGTAGGGTGTCCCAAACACTCAGTGACGTGGCCACCATCATCATCATCTCTGTTTTGTGGATACTTAGCAAGTGCTGGGGTGGGGGTTTGAGCTCAGCTCTGCTGGACTCGAGAGCTCTCAACCAGCGTGCTGGATACTGAGAGCAATCGTTCGACATTTGTGCTGAACCCGACACAGGGCCGACTGCCAGGGCCTGCTGTGAAAAGCAGTGTCCCTTGCACGAGGTATTTGCAGAGCTCGCCTTAGGCCCAGCCAAACCTGTGCTTCTTTCCAGCTCTAGGGTTTTAATTCCAGCTGAATTTTTGTCTCAGACCCCACAGATGAATCGAAAGATAGCTCGGGCCCTGCTAACTCAACCGCCGACCTGTTGAAGCAAGGGGCAGGTGAGTGGTCACCTGAGACTGGATCCCTGCCCAGGCCTTTCTTTCGAAACCTCTCCCACCCTGACCCCTCCTGCAGGTGCGGGCTGGACGTCTCTCTCATACCCAAACGTCTCTGGGCAGATCACATTCTATGTGCAGGTGCCTTGGCCCAAGGCTGGCCTGAAATTCACCTGCTACCTTCTCCCTGAGGAAGGGACCTGGGGTCTTGTCCCCACCCACCTCAGCTGCCATGACTCCTCCGTGGGTTGATTTCTTCCAGCCTGCAATGTGCTCTTTGTTAACTCTGTGGACATGGAGTCCCTCACTGGGCCCCAGGCCATCTCCAAAGCCACATCGGAGACATTGGCTGCTGATCCTACACCAGCTGCCACCATCGTTCACTTCAAGGTCTCTGCCCAGGGAATCACTCTGACTGACAACCAGAGAAAGTAAGACTCCTCTCCCTGTGTCTGTGTTGAAGTCTCCTTCATGTGACCCACTCACCCACCCATCTACCCATGGATCCATCCCTCGCACCCGTTTACTCACCTATCCACCCATCCGTCTATCTTACATCCATCTTCCACCTACCTGGCTACTCCTCCATCCATCCATCCATCCATCCACTTGCTCACCCTCTCACCAGTTGATCCATCCATCCCTGCATCCATTCACCCCCTCATCTATTCTCCCCACCCATTTGTCCATCCATCTGTGTCTCCCCCCGTGTATCCATCCACCCACCCATCCACCCTTCTACCAGGATCCGCCTGCGTCGTCTGTACAGCTGTAAACACAGCTAAGACTAAGCCGCTGCTTCCTCGGAGCAGAGCCTTCCTCTTGGACTCTCTCCTAACAGTGTCCCCAGCCCCTTTCCTTCCTCCAGGGCCCCTTCCCCCATTTCTCATTCCTCAGTGCTAGTTTCTTCCTTCCTTTCCCAGCCTCAAGCATTTGGGACATGTCCCTGTGGCACATCTGTCTGTGTCTGTCCCCAGTGAGCAGCTCAGGCCGTCTTACATAAGTGAGAGGCTGGGTGACCCATGACAGCCACAGGTGGTAGAGGGGTGGCCTGAGCTGCCGGGGAGGGAGGGGAGAAGCAGTCACTTGGGTGCTCATTCTCTGTTTCTCTGATGTTTGTGCTGCAGGCTCTTCTTCAGACGACACTACCCCCTCAACACTGTCACCTTCTGTGACCTGGATCCACAGGAAAGAAAGTAAGTCTCTTGCAGACACCTGGCCTCCCACCCGGCTCTGTAACACTGAAGTCTGTGTGTGCATGCGTGTGGGTGCGTGCACGTGCATTCCTGGTTCAGCTGGAAGAGCTGCCAGTGTGAGGAGTTGTGTGGGGCGTCTTTTGAGTAGTCCCACCTCAAATGTGGAGACCCTCGTGGGGACTCAGTGCCCACTTCCGCCCCCTCCGCCGCTCTCCGACCCTGAATCTGCTTTGCGCTACGTTGGGGAGGGCACCTGGGAGGCCGCAGCGTTCTCTCCGCCTTGAACGCCCCCCTTGAACGCCCCGCATGCCTGGGAATGGGGCACTTCTGCCTCCCGCAGGTCAGGCGTGGGCGGGCTGGGCTCCGGGGGAAGGGATCGCGATTTACCTGTGATTTACTCTGCGCTGTCCTCTCCACAGGTGGATGAAAACAGAGGGAGGCGCCCCTGCTAAGTAAGTGTGGCTTCTTTACCGGACCCGGCGGGCCTTTGTGTGTACAGGGGAGCAGGGGGCAGGTTTAGGATCCAGGGCCGGTGGGCAGGGGGATGGCAGAGAGGACCTTTGTGTCAAGGTCACTCAGTTTTGGAGAAAAGCTTGACAAGGCAGCCAGGCCTTTGGCCACCTTCTCCTGGGAGCAGAACCAGCAGGGATCCTGGGAACTGAATAGAAAACTAAGTTTTGTGAGAGGTGGTGACTGTGGGGAATGGGGTGTTTAAATGATCTTTTCTGCCCAAATCCTTGCTGCTTTTATTTCTGTTTTTGCTTTCTTGGTGGGCTTCTGTGCTTCTCGTGGCTGGGCTAGACCTCCTCATCAGAATGCGGGCGCCCGTTTCTGAGTTCTGGGGATGGCCCTGGGGCCTGTGGGTGGGTTGTTTCATCCATTCGGCATATCCCAGGTATATCTGAGGAGCTCAGAGCTGCCCGGGACCCCGACTCCACCCTCGGGAGTCCCACTGGCATGGCAGATAAGACAAGCGTATAAACAGCACTAAGATGTTTCTGTGGTTTTCAAACTGTGTTGCAAGGAACCCTAGGACCCTAGGGTTGCAACTGCTCGGAAGGGAGGGAAAACCCTACTACTACTATCAGTAAGAACCAGGATTTTCTCAATATCACAAACCCCAAACCAAATACCGGAATAACCCGGGGTCTGAAGCTGACATGAGGCTGTCACTGTGATTTGTAATTCACATTTCACTTCCTTGGGCTCATCCCAACAGCCCCATTTTCCTCACTGATTTACTTTATGGTGGGTAAATATTGTGCTTTCGAATTGATACATTTGTAGCCATAAAATACTTCTTTCACCTTTATATATTTGGACTTCATACAAGATTATTTTGGAAAAAGAAAACTTTCACTGTTATTTTAAAAAACGAAGCATTGCTGGATGAGACATGGCAGGAAGTGTAGCTCCCCTCTGGGCGCTGATGCAGGAGCCCACGTCCGGCAGGGAGAAGGTGGGAGAGGTTTGGGGAAAGAACAGGTATTTTTAAATGGATCTTAAAAGACAGGTACGATTTGGACAGGTCAAAATGAGTGTGGAAGGAGGACAGAGACTGTTTCGGGGGGCGGGGCTCACAGCAAGCCCCCTGCAGGCAGGAGCGTGTCTGGCTCATGGGAGGCTGATAAATATTTGTGGAATGAAGAAATGAGGGAACAGAGACTGCGCAGGGGAGAGTCAGGAAGCGGCTGCAGGGAGGCCTCCTTAGAATGCATGGGACGGACTAGCAGTCTGTCGCATGATCAACCGTGGGGATTTCAGGGGGGCCACATGGGATGGAGCGGGGTCCAGTTAAGGGGTCCAGTCCCGGCATCTCCTTGTGTCTGTGCCGGCCAAGCGGGCGGCCAGAACTTCGTGTTTGAAGGTGCTCGGGCTCCTGCCTCCGTGAGGGGCAGAGGTGTCAGGAACAGAAGGGAGCTGGGCCCCAGGCCTGGAAATACCTCTTTTTTTACCTTCAGGAGCTGCTTTTGGGCTGAGCTTCCTGCCAAGGGGGCTTAGATGGGTGGGGCAGAAGCTGCACGGACAGGCTGAGGGGACAGAGGCCTTGAGCGTGGCAGGTGAGGGACTAGGGTGGGGCGAGGGAGGGATAAGCTCTCAGGCCTGCTCCCTGGCCTTGGCGGCTGAGCTTTCTTGCCTGGATCCACCCGAGGCGGATGACAGCGTTGGGCGACTGTTGGGTCAGGTCCTGAGAGCCTTGGAGCTGCCGAGGAGATAAACAGAAGGGAGAGCAGGTGTGTTCAGGGCCAGCGTGGCAGACGCGTCTCCATCCTGGCAGACACCAGCAGCTGGGGGGTGCTCCTCCCCGCTGGGGGCTGGGAGGTGCCCCTCGCTCCTCCCGACCGCCCCTGGCAGCACAGGCCTGAGCCAGCCCAGGAAAGGAGGTGCTGGGGGCTGCTCGCTGGACCCTGCTTCCCCACACCCAGGCGTTACCCCAGGCCTTTGGTCCTGTGTTCCAGGCCCTGAAACAAAGCTGTGAGAGCAGAGCTATAGGACATGCAGGGTGGTGTGTGTGTGTGTGTGCGACATGTATAGTGTGCACATGTGTGTGGGATGTGTGTGTATGTGGTGGGTATATATGTGTAGCATGTGTGTATGTATATATGGTGCATATGTTGTATATGTATGTGTGTGGTGTATGTGCATGGCATGGTATGTGTTATATGTGTGGTATGTATGTGCATGTGCTATGTGTGGTGTGTATATGTGTGATATGTGTGTATGTGGTATGTATGTATCATATGTGTGTGGTATGTGTGTGGTGTGTGTATGTGTGTGGTATGTGTGTGGTGTGTGTATGTGTTGTGTATGTGTGTATATGTGTATGTGTATGCTGTCGTGTGTGTGGTGTGTGTATATGCGTATTGTATGGGGTGTGTGTTGTGTGTGTGTGTGTTGTGTGTGTGAGTGTATGTGTGTGTGCTATATGTATGTGTATGTGTGTGGGGTGTGTGTTATGTATGCGTGTGGTGTGTGCGTGTGTTGTGTATGCGTGTGGGGTGTGTGTGCGTGCAAAAAGACACACACAGCAGCCGGCAGAACCCAACCTTGCTAATTGTAGCTGCCGTGGTCCGGTCCTAGGGAGAGGGGTTTCCATCGGAATCTCCAGCTGTCCTGATTTCCCCATCTCACTCTAATTAGCAACACGCCGGCTGGGAGGGGACCTGGGCTCACATTCTGTTCTCTGCCCTCGTATTTTTAACTCTGTTTTGCAGAGGGAATGCTAGGTCACTCTAGCTGCGGTGCGGGTGGGGGACGAGTGTGGGGGACGGGTGTGGGGGACGGGTGTGGGGTCCACCTCCCTTCCTACTCTCTGGGATTCCAAGCCTCTTGAGCACAGGAAAAATAAGTGCATGTGTGTTGAGGGGGTGATCTGCTTGTCCTTCTGTGTCCCTCTGACCTTGTGGTGTCTGAGGAGGCCAAGCCCTTTGCAGGCAGATGGCATTCTCTTCTTTCGCTTGTGTGCTGTGTGGGGGAACAGTCAGTACGGGTGGGGCTGGGGTGGGCAGGAGAGAAGCCCGTCTAGGAATGTTCCCATTTTATTCTGGTCTCCTCCCCATCCCTCACTGTCCAGTCCCGTCACTCACATCCAGCTCCCCTCCCACCCCTCAGAGTGGGACTCTGTGGTCAGTGGGTGGAGAGAGGAGTCTCTCGTGGGCCTCCCCCGTCCCTGCTGCTCGGCAGGCAGGAGGGATGGGCTGGCCGAGCCCTCTCGCTCACCTGGGCTGCTCTTGCCCCCCTCACGCCGCCCCTCCCGCCCCCACAGGCTCTTTGGCTTCGTGGCCCGGAAGCAGGGCAGCACCACGGACAACGCCTGCCACCTCTTCGCGGAGCTTGACCCCAACCAGCCAGCCTCTGCCATTGTCAACTTCGTCTCCAAGGTCATGCTGAGTGCTGGCCAGAAGAGATGAGCCCACCCCTTGCCCTGGGCCAGTGCAGTGGGGACGGGGCCCATGGGGAGGGGACCCAGGAATCCTGACCACCCTTGAATCCAGAAGGAGGACTTTGGGCCAAGTTTGGAGAAGGAGAGAAGAAAGTGCAACGTGGGGAGAGGGAAGTGAATTGCAGAGGGGAGGGGGGGAGAGAGGGAGACAGAAAGAGGAAGATGGCGGAGAAGAACTCAGATTCCCCTGGGTGATGGAAACTGCAAAAACCCAAAGCCTCCAAAATTAACCAGGTCCCCCAAACTCCCCCTTCCCCCCTCCCAGAGGAGAAGAAACAAGCCTCCTTGGGGATCCATATTTTTAGGGGAATGGAAAAGCCCCATCTTCCTAACCCAACTGCTTTGCAAGGAGAAATCAAGCTTTTTCTGGCCACCTGTAGGGTAGGTTGTCAAACCAAACAGAACCAGTGTGGGACATCAAGTGGTGGAACTTTCTCTTTTCAAAGTATCTCAGACCCAAGGCACCTCAGGTCTCTTTGCTGTGCCTCTGATGTATTGCTGTGTGGGTGTGTGTGTCTGCACCCACACCTCACGTGTTGATTCGTACTTGCCTCTGTCGGCTAGATTTATAAACAGCTGTCCTCGTCTGTGTCCCATGTGTTTGCAGACACAATGTCCAAAGAAGGTTAGGGTTGGGGGCGACAGGGCAGCAGGGAGGGACAGAAACCCTCTTTTGCAGGAGTACCCAAGCTGTGGGTGACAGAGGCTCTCTCTCCTGGTCCCTGCACCTGCACTCTCGTGGCCCCTGGTACCACCGGCCTTTCTCCTCTACAAAGACCCCAGCAGGAGTGGGGGTGGCCACCCCTGCAGCTTACCCTGTTCTGCCTTAACTGAGAGGCGGGAGCTTTGGTTTGAGGATGTGGAGATACGTGTGTCTGTGGCCTCGGGAAAGAGCTCTGCCAGGAAGGGCAGCTGCTGAGCTCGGGGCCTCTGCCCTGAGGTGTGTAGCCCAGCAGCAAGGAAGGCAGGTCACCCCGGTCGGTGGCCTGGACTCTGCCTTAGCTCCCACCTCTCAGCCCGTTCTTGGGTTTCATGCCCCAGAACCAGCCTTATCTCAGACTTGCTTATCTGCATGATGCCTTTTTGGGGGCTGGAGAGCGAGCCTTCCTGCTCTGCCCTGCCCTATTCTGTCTGTCCTACAGGGTCTCCATGTTGGGGTTCATCCTGGGAACCTGTTTCCCGCTCAGCAAGGCCCAGGGGAGGAGCCTGTAGTCCTTTTCCTCCCCTCGGTACATGTTCTGCGGTCTGACTTTTGCAGGTCCCTTTCTGGCTGGGCTGCCCAGGGTGACATCAGAGAGGTCCTGGGGCTGCTACCTGTGTGCCACATGGCCTACCTACAATGCCAAAGCCTCACTGTTCCCCATGCTGCCTTGGTTTCCCCAGCTGAGTCACGCTGCCCATGTAGCAGTGGGGCAGAAGACTTGCATTTAGGCCAAAGGGCCTTGGGCCCATTTGGACAGTTGGGAAAAACCCTGACCACCACCCAAAGACATTAAGCCAGAATGGAAAATTCACCAGGACTCCATTCTTAAGCCTAGAGGGGTTCCCTAGAGAGAGGCATTGTACTGATATATAAATATATATAATATATACATGAGACATACTGACAGAATCTGTAAGCTAATAAAATATAAGAAAAGGTAAAAAAAATAATAGGTAAATTGACAAGAAGTATTTATTGTTTTCCCATATTGCTTTACTGCCTTCCTTGGGCATAAACCGATTCTCATTCCTTTTTATATGTCTAAGGAAAGCCTGAAACGTAGGCAGCCTCTATCCTTGGAGCAGCCGGGGGTCTCCTGGCCCTGGCCCTGGCCTTCCCTAGACTTTGTCAGGGCTCAGTGCTGGGGGGCTGCTCATGTTCCACCTGTTTGGCCCCCTTATTTTCTGGCAGACCAGAGGCCTGGCGGTCAGCTCCCAGGACGTGAGTGTGTGAGCGTGTGGGACGTGACTATGTGTGACACACAGGGCTGTGTGTGCATCTTTTGTACTTTTCCTCCTCCAAGGAGCCGGATCAGTGTGGACATTCTGTTTCAGGGAGTTGGAAACGACAGTGGGGAGAAGGCAGCAGGGAGCAGGGGCTGAGGCCCCACCGGCTGCCGCTTCTCCAAGAGTGAAATCTTGTGCTTGGTGACCGAGGTCCCTCCAAAGTGCTCTTCCTTCTGAGATATTCAAGCCCCAAACCTGGATTTCCCCTTCTCCTCGTTCCCCGGCTAACCCCAGTTCTCTTCCAAGATGGAAGGAGATATGCTATCCCTTCCTTTGTAAATATCTTCATGCCCCCACTGGACAGCCCAGGAGCCGCCTCCTGGGTGGGACGTTCTCTCCACACTTGTGGCTGGATGGGGCGTCCTACCCTTCGGTAGCCAGACTCAGCCCGGGACTGAGTCTGGGATCAACCTTCACACGCATGACATCCCGCCACCGCCCACCACAGCCCACCTCGCAGGCATGGCGGCCCCTCCACGCCAGGCCTGAGCCGTGTGTGACCCTGCAGGAGGACCCGGGTCGATGCTGGAAACCTGGTAACTCACTCCCAGCATCCCTCTGGAAGGAGCCGGTTTCTGAGAGTTTGGCCATGCCAGGAGAATGATGGGGAAGTGTCCCCAGTCTCCACGGTGGCCCCACCTTTGGGCCCCACACCAGAGCCCTCCTGTGTCTCACAGGTAGGCGTGCACCCATGCACACACCTACGCACACACACCACTCAGCTCTGCAGTATATTCTTGCCAAAGATTTCCTTTAAAAGAAAGCACTTTTACTAATTATTGTTATTATTTTATAAATGTTTATCCTCTTTGTTCCTCTCCCTCCCTCAACCTATTTTGCTGTTGTTTATTGTTGAATCTGTTTGTCAGCCAGGAGAGTGCTGTCTGGTCTTGAGTCTGGCCTGGGGTGGGGAGAAGCTGGCAGGAAAGAGCGGGAGAGGCGTGGCCATCCCGAGATGCAGTGGTGCAGACCCCACAGGCTCTGGCCCTGGCCCCAGGCCCTCGCTGCCTCTAGCTGTCCAGCCAGGTGTCTGTGGCAGGCCTGGGGCCTCGCCCCAGCTGGCTCTTATAGGGTCTGGAGGCAAAAGGGCAGGGAAGGGACATCTCTGATTCAGCTAGAAGAAGGGCCCAGTGAACTCCATGTGGCTCTTTCCAGGGGAAGAAAGAGGGAAAAATTGGACATGGGAACAATGGAGAGATTTCCCCCCGCCCCCCCCCCCCCCCCCACATCACGGTGTCCTGGGTCCTTTATTTCGCCAGGTGTTCAAGGGAGAGACACATCACATCCTAGGTTTGGGAAGGGCCTTTGACCCATCTCCTCTGAGCCTCTCTCCAGCAGCTCTGAAAAAGCCCGTGGATTCCTTCTCCCCTGGTTTTCGAGGAATCCCTGGTTGTGTCAGAGACTGGCCAGGATAGGGGTGGTATCATCTGGTGGCTTATGACAGCAAGGGGGGCAGCCCGCTGCACACGTGTGATCCTGCTATAAGGGCTCTCAGGCAGATGGGGAGTAGGGGATTCTTTTGCCTCGTGCTGATGGGCCTGCGCAGAGATGGGGCAGGCTCTCATGCTGCCCTGGGGTGCAGAGGGGTCGGTGTGTGTGACAGCATCTGTCCTCTCTCCGACACTTGTCCACCACCCCTGCCTCCTGGGTCCTCTCCCCCTTCCCAGTTTGTTCCCAGCTTCCGAACCTAGAGTTCAAGTGGGCCAGTGCCCCAGCCAAGGAGCAGCCCACCCCTACCACCACACTCAGGGTCCTTGAGGAGGTTGGGGGCCAGGGTCCCAGACCCACCTTTTCACCCAGGTCCGGGCCCTAGAATCCTGAGACTCACGTTTCCTTGGCCAGTGGTAACATAGGACGTGCGTGTGTGGGTGTGCAAGTGTGGATGTACGCGTGTGCGTAGTATTTTTCACTCGTCTCTTTAGGGAACTTGGGGGTGGGGGCTGGAGGTGGTGGGCAGTGGGCGTCAAGTCCAATATCACCCAGCAGCAAGGGGAATCAGGAGGTGAGGCCTGCAGGGCCACTGGTTGGTGCAGTCTCAGTGTTGGGGGGGATCGGGCCACAGGACTCAGGCACATCTGGTCCTTCTTGACTCCTCTGTCCTCCAGTGTCCAAAATGTTGGAGGACCTCTGTCTATATCCACACCTGGGCTCTTCCCAACAGCGAAGGTATTGTAAAGGGATGTCTCAAGTTTGTTTTCTAATCAGTGTTAAGCCATTTGAAACTCTCCTGTGTGTCCGTGTTTGGTGTGTGCGTGTGAACGAAAGAGCACGTCAGTGCATGCATGCTGTGTGTCCCCGTCTCTCTCCTCCCTTCTGACCTGTCATTCAAAATAAATGCAAGGAATTCCTTACACCACCCTCCCTGCCTCCCAGGCCCTCTGCAGGAAAAACAGAATAACCCAGCATCCTCCCCGTGGCCTGGCTGTGTATTTATATAGATGGAAATATACTTTATATTTTGTATCATCCTGCCTATAACCTCCACCACCTTGTATAAACCCTGGTGTATGCTACTTGTCCTGGACATGAATGTATTGTACACTGATGCTGTCCCCTCCTGTACAGCTGCTTTGTTTCTTTGCGATCCATTGTATGGCTTTATAAATGATAAAGTTAAAGAAAAATCTGTGCTGCTATCTAGCTGTGTTGTTTGGACATGGGTATGCCACGTCTCTGGTGGGCAGAAAGGGGCCTCTTCCAGGCACCGGTGGGCTTCAGTGATGCTTCTGGTGGGCAACTCACCCCAAATCCTCCCAATGGCTTCCCCACCAGCCAAGTCTTAATAGAAGCAGGAATTTGTGCCCATCGCTTGGTTCTGAGTTGGCTTAATTCTCAGGCAAGCTGTCCCCAAGAGGTGGTGCCACCGGATGCCCCAGGCTTTCGTGCCACCAGCTCGGCAGCTCCAATAGAAGAGGGCTCTTTTCTCCTGATGTTTTCAGCAAAAACCTGGGGCAAATCTCATGGGCTCTGCTAGGCCCTGCTCGGCTCATATCATTAACTTGGAACCAATCACTCTATCCAGATCTGGGTTACACCACTGCCTCTGGAGCCTTCTGAGACCACAGGGACTGAGAATGGGGAGTGTTGGTCCCTGAGGAGGAGAGGTTTATCAGAAGAAGGGGGACAGAGGCTGTCGGGCAGAATCTACAGGTGCCCGTCAGGTGGTACGTGTGTAGCTCGCTCATACACCAGGCCCAGTGGTCCTGGGTGAATTCTTTGGAATTCGGAAAGTTTGGGTGTGGTATGCCTAGCACAGCTCAGGGGTTTCTGGGAGACACAAAAATACACAAAGAACATGGCTCCGGTTCTCCAGTGTGGCCGGGCAGAGGCTCAGATCAGCTGATGCAAACAGGTGTGGGCTGAGCGCCCCTCAGTGGCCAGCACGGCCCTTGTACTGGGGGCAGCTTCTCACACGGTTGGGTCTCAGGACTTCCTTATGCTCTTAGGAATTATTCAGGACCCCAAAGAGCATTTGTTTAAGTGAGCTAAGTCTTTCGATCTTTACCATAGTGTAAATATACATTAAAACTGAGAACATTTAAAACATACTTATTAATTCACTTCCGTGAAAATGAATTCACTACCTGTTAACATAAATAGCATTTTTACGAAAAATAATGACATTTTCCTGAAACAAAAAGGATTGGGTGAGAAGGGTGACATTGCTTTGCATTTTTAAAAGGCTTTTCATGTTCTGCTTAACAGAAGACAGCTGGACCCTCCTCTCTGCTTCTGCAGCCGGTCTGCTGTGAGGTCACACATCACGGGCTGGTGGAGAACACTGTACATTTGTGAGAAAATGAGTGGAAAAGACAAATAATGGCTTAATATTATTAAGAAAATAGTTTTGATCTCACAGAACCCCTAAGGGGTCTCAGGAACCCCCAGGGGCCCCAGACCATACTTTGGAACCTGCTGCTGTCAGGGACACAGGACACGGGAACCTCAGCCCCTGCCTGTGGTGGGGACTTGACATGGGTCGCATCCTGCTCTCTGAGGGCATTGTCATGCTCAGTCTTCCCAACAGACCCATGAGGTAGGTATTGTTACACACAAGGGACACGTCAGGAAACCAAGGCTCTGAGAGGTCACGTAGCTTCTAACTGGCAAAGCTATTAGTAGTACTCAGTGTCGTCACTGCCGGTGACGGCTGGCACCCAGACAACACTTGCTAAGTGCTGGAGTCTGTGCTAAGCACTGAGGTGTGTTTTCTCATGCGCATGCACCTGGGAGAGAGGGTTATCCTTGTCCTCATTTTGCAGGGGAAGGAACTGAGGTGCAAACGTTAAGACACTCACTCAGAACCACAAAGCTGGGGTGGGTGGGAGATCCAGGCTATGAACCCAGGCGCGCTGACTTCCCAACCCTTGCTAGCTCACACCTCTCTCTCTGCTCTTGGGGCCAACTTTCGAGGGGACACACAGACCCTGGTGGGCGATGGGCAGGTGGGAGAACAAACGAACATGAACGGTCAGATAGGTGGTCGGGGTGGGCCGTCGGGCTGGCTTCCCAGGGAGTGGACCAGGGCGCCTGGGTGTGTAATGGAAGACAGAAGGTCATCCTCCAATGCCACGCAGCTGTGGAGGGATGCGGGTGACCCGGGGCTGGGCCTGGCTCAGGGGAGGAGCATCAGATGAGAGAGGTAGTCCAGGG